GAGGAGGCCCTGATTGATTTTTCATGTAATGACCCTACATGTGAAAACAAACACTACAGCAACTTACCTGACCAAAGGCTCCTTGTAGGAGACAGTGGGGGTCCCATCTTCTCCGTAGTATCCGGCCTGTTGTTGCCGTAAACTCCTTCGTGCCATGGCTGAAGAACTCATCTGTGTGCAAAATATCCTGCAGAAGTGTTGAATGCTTTCCTCAGTCACAGTTGTTTCTGAACTTCTCAGCATTTATAGCTCCGTCAACGTCACATGACGTCATCACAGGGTTGCCTTTGATGAAGAACCCTGATTCATTCAATATGCAAATTGGGTTTCAATGTTGAGCTGATGCCCCAGTCTCACTTTAAACACAATCACATACACAGTCACACAAACAACATTGTTGTGGTGATCCTCTTGGAGTCATTTCACTTTTGCAGATTTTCTTTTGACCTCATCACACAAAGTGTGAAACCAAAGTTAGCTTTTTTTTGTCTCAGTGCTTACTATGAGGCTGAAGTCAGTTTCTGAGTCTGCACATAAGGGAAAAGTTAAGGGAAACTTACCTCCGACTTTCCACGTTTTAACCATGTAAAGCTGTGTTAAAAAAAAAAAAAAAAGGAGAATATGTTTTTTTGTTTGTTTGTCTCCAAGTGATTTTAAAATCGTTAAAAAAGTTAAGTAATGTTAGGGGGGCTGGACGTCTCCGATTTCCTTGTTTTTGACACTGGGTGGGAGGTGTGTGCACACATGCGTATCATGAAAAGAGGTTCTTGAATCCTTAAAAATCTTCAGGAAGTCCGTTTAACTGTCCATTGGCTCAGACATCAGTCATTTGCTTGAATCAGCACCGTTGGAGTGTTTCATTTGTTAGCAGGCTCACTGTTAACTAACCGTTAAATAGCCACTAACTAACTAGCTGTAAGCTCACGCACTGCGTGAGTGGTCGAGCAAGAGTGTGAGAATAGTGCGTGCGTTTGCTGCCTAGGTAGACAGAAGTGTGCCTTTTAACCATATGTTATAATTAAGTATGTTTGGAGCTATTATGTATTCTGAATGTGTATTTTGCACTGAGCCTATGATTCTGTTTCGTATTTTCCTACTGAGCACAGTGTACGGCCTTGAAGATAACATGGCCGGTGAGAACTGGGAGACAACGGAAACTCCCCTATTTTATCAGTTGCTTTAAATCACATATGTCAAAGTCAAGGCACGCGGGCCAGATCCGGCCCGCGAATGAATTATCTATGGCCCCCTGGATGATATTTAATTACTGTTAGAACTCACCCGCAGGCCACAGCTGCCCACTGGTGTTTTGCACGCACCAACACTACATTCCCCACAATGCAACGGTAGCCTGCGAAGTCACTGCAGCGCAGCAAGCGGCTTCATTATTCATCAGCAGTCAGAGCAGAGGTCAACTTTCAGCTACCCCCCTCCTCAAAAATGGCTAAACGGAAGGTGGATGCTGAGAACAGGGGGTTTCAAGCCAGGTGGGAGGCAGAGTACATGTTCACGGAGGTAACATGTACTCTGCGTGGAGAAAGTGTGTCTTCTGTGTGGAGAAAGTTTGGCTGTAATGAAAGAATATAATCTAAGAAGGCATCATCAAACATCTCAGAAACACACAGACAAAGACAAGAATACTGACACGGAACAAAAGCTACAGAAGGTGGAAGAATTAAAACGAGGACTTAAGACCAGGCAGGCTCTGTTCACAAATGCCAAAACACAAAGCGAGACTGCTGTCCAGGCTAGTTTTATTGTGGCAGAAGAGGTCGCAAAATCAGCCCGGCCACTTACAGAAGGAGAGTTTATCAAAAACTGTTTGCTTGAAGTTTGTGACGCCGTGTGCCCAGATAAAAGGCAACTATTTTCAAACGTGAGCCTGAGCAGAAGCACCGTTGCTGAACGTGTAGACCACCTTTCCACCAATCCAAAAGAACAGCTTGTGGGAAAGGGAAAAGATTTCATTGCATATTCTCTTGCTGTGGATGAGAGCACAGACACATCTGACATTGCCCAGCTGTCAATTTTTGTCCGTGGAGTAGACTCCAGCCTGTGCATAACAGAAGAGTTTTTGGCATTACGCCCTATGCATGGCACAACTACAGGACAAGATCTGTATGAAGAGGTATCCAGATGTGTAAATGAGATGGAGCTGCCTTGGGAAAAACCCCTGGGATTGACAACAGACGGAGCACCCGCAATGTGTGGGCACAGGAGTGGATTGGTGGCAAGGATGCGTGAGAGGATGCGGGAGGAAAACGTCACAGATGAGCTGACAGCTTATCACTGCATCATACACCAGGAGTCATTGTGTGGCAAAGCCTTGAAAATGGAACATGTAATGAGCACCATAACGCGAGCAGTTAACATCATCAGAGCCAAAGGTTTAAATCACCGCCAGTTCAAGGCATTTCTGGGCAAGTTAGACACAGAGTATGGTGACTTGCCGTATCACACAGAGGTGCGATGGCTAAGCCAGGGAAAGGTGCTGCAAAGATGTTTCGAGCTGCGTGAGGAGATCTGTCTGTTCATGGAAAGCAAGGGGAAAGACACAACAGAGCTCCGAGATGAAACGTTCCTGTGTGAAATGGCGTTTCTGTGCGACATCACGAGCCATCTGAATGTGATGAATCTGCAGCTGCAGGGACGGGGGCATGTCATCTCTGATATGTACAGTACAGTGAAGGCGTTTAAAACCAAGCTGAGTCTGTGGGAGACGCAGATGCGGAAAGAAAACTTGAGCCACTTTTCCAGCTGCCAGACCATGAAAGAGAAGCTCTCTCCCGCTGTGTTCCCGAGCGCACAGTTTGCTGATAAACTCAACATACTTGCCGCCGACTTCCTGACTTTGAAGCCCAAAAAAGCAGGTTTGAACTGCTCAGCAATCCTTTTGCAGGTGAGGTAGAAAAGCGCACCACCAAATCTACAAATGGAGTTGATTGAGCTCCAGTGCAATGACACACTGAAGGAAAAATAGGAGAGAGTGGGTGCTGCTGACTTTGCACGTTTCATCCCAGACACAATGCCCCTGTGCATCCAAGCTGCTCGGACGCTCTCTATGTTTGGCAGCACATACCTGTGTGAACAACTTTTCTCTTTGATGAAGCTAAACAAAACGTCACACAGGGGCCATCTTACTGATAAACACCTTCACTCAATCCTGAGGATTTCCTCAGCTCAGAGCCTGACCCCGAACATTGATGAACTTGTACAAAAGATGAGACACCTCCAAGTATCAGGCTCAGCCTCAGACAAGTGAGCATCACAGAGCAGTAACGTAATTTCAGTTTTTAATTCAGTGAAATTTTTACATTTGTTTCTACAAGACGTGATTTTTCTTTGAAGGAAGTATTGTTTTGTCTGTGTGCCATAGATTTTTGTATTTTATTTTATTTTATTGTATTTATTTTTCAGTTGAATGGACTCAGGGAAAATTGCAGATAAGAGCCATGAGAAAGAATACAACTGATTTGATTTATTTTTTTTATTTTCTCATTTTACTATTTGAAAGCAGTGATTGGTAGGATCATAGAGCAGCACAATAATGCATTTTCAGTTTATAATGCATGCAATTTCATTTATGCATTTATCTTGATATTAAGACACATATTTTGTTTTTAAAGGACATTTACTTTTTTGCTGTTTGCCTGTTGAAAATGTTTTCCCTTGAAGTTACTGACAGAGCCATAACGAAATATTGCTTTATACATTTAATGTACAGGACATGTGATTTTTCTTTGAAGGAAGCTCATTTTTGTCTGTGTGCCTGTTGAAAAATGTTTTCACTTGAAATTACTGACAGATCCATAAGAAAATATTGCTTTCTTCATTTAATCATTAAATAATATACACTGTGTTAGGTCTTGGCTCAATAGGCTATGTGCAATCATTTCAATATGTTTTAAAAAACATTGAACCAGTCTGGCCCTCGGCTTGTATCAAAGTTGCTTTTTTGGCCCTCTGTGTATTTGACTTTGACATCCCTGCTTTAGATACACGCCTTTTGGACAACACACACACTTTGTATTCAATCCAAGCAGTTTGTGTTTACATTTCAGTGAACGTCCACATGAACAGTGGTTAGCCTGTTCACGTCACAGTAGTTAAACTTGGTAGCGTACAAGTCCAACCTCTGACTGTAATGTCCTAGTCCAAGAAGATATCTGTAACCTGAAAGCAAAAAAACTCAGTTCAGCTGGACATGAGATTCCTCTCTGTCCCTCTGAATCCAGCGCTGCAAAACTTTACCTGTGACCTAAAATAAATTCCACAAGATTTCTCCGGCTTGTTCTTGGACTTCCAACTGAAGAATCGGGTCTAACACATAGATACGTACAATAAAGGCTATATGTCTTAAGGCCGCGAAGGGCATCACCCTTCTGCCATGTTGACACAGGGAAGCTCACTGGCGGAACCTGTGGTACGTGAAGGAAGGTGAGTGATCTGCACAAACATAAATATGCTTATCTCGCTGAAATCTTGACGAATTACAAACGGTTTGGTTTTTTACAAACATTGCTACAATTCAAATGACAAAAATACAAATAAAATACAAAATAATTAAAATACAAATTGTTGCTGGCCGTGAGAGTGTATTTAACCCGCATTTAGTTATTTATTTATTTGGTTATTTATTTTATTTATTTCCGGGTCAATTGTCTTTGACCTCATATTTCCTATAAATACGGGTCAGAGAGTTCACTTTCGTCTCCGTCCCGATCACTGAGTCGCTGATTAGCTCTCGGCCGCTCCTCGGGAAGTCAAACAATATCACTCAATTCAAAGGTAAAAAGAAAAGTGACTTTCATGTAATGTAACCCAGCCGAATTGTAGATAATGTTTTAATTTTATTGCCGCGCTCCCGTAGTTTGGAGTTTTATTTTTGTTTTGGCCAGTCTTTTTGGTTTTTTGTTATTAACGCTCGAACGGCTATGGGGTTTGGTATGCGTAGCGCCGCATTCACTGAACTGATAAATATGATAAATAATTTAACTCTTAAACTCTGGTTGAGTAGTTTAGAATGCACTTTTGAATTTGATTTTTTTTCTTTGTGATTGATCAATGTTCAATTAATTTAATTGATAGATTTTTTTGTGATTATCAATGACAAATTAATTTGATTAATTGATTTTTTTCTTTGTGATTCATCTATA